TTGCTTCCTTTTCCCATCAGTACACTTCTGATGCCTGGCACATTCAATCAGGTGGACTGAGATACAGAAGCTGAAGGAAAAACGATTCAGTGCCTGATGGTTTCAGGTAATTATGAATGCAGTAGAGCAGCCAAAACTGTGTTCTGCTTCTCCGTCAGTGTAACAAGTCACTACATGGAGCATCTGTTGACAAGGTGCATCCAGCATATATTTGTTAAGTCGTAGATGTTTTTCCTTTCCCAGCATCTAAGCAGATGTCACCAAAGACTCTTTTCAAAACAATGTTATACCTTTCATTGTGTCTGTTTGTAGTTTAAAGGTTGAATATACTTTCTGAAAAGCAGAGTGGCAAAGAAATGTAAATGTATATTGGAATGTGGTGTACTCTCGAAAGCCTTTGACGCAATCTTTTAATTAGGGAACATTAATACCTGATATTTTGCACACTTAAGTTCTCAGTATACCTTGAAACATTCACATAGAAATTGATCAAATAAAAGTTGTCTCCTTGTTTGTCTGCAATTTTTTTTTAAAAATATGTGTTTTCATTAGCAACCTCAACATTCCCCCGCCCCTGCCCACAAAGGGAGTGTAGCTGAATTGCTGGCTTGCTTTCTTTTTGCTTGCTTCTCTACTCTCACTGTGTACTGCTTTTGGAAACAAAAATGTATCTGAATAAAGCAGACCTTTCAATTAACTAATAGAGCATGTTTTGCAGTTGAATCAAAATGTTAGTTACAAGTTTCAGTAACAGGCATGCACAGGTATGCCATATTGGAGAACTCAGAAGGTGATCTCAGGGTCTGAGTAGGTTCATATGGAAATAGGTATCTTGAGGTATTGTGGTGCTGAGCCATTTAAGGCTTTATAGGTCAAAGCCAGCACTTTGAATTGGGCCCGGAAACTAATTGGTATCTAGTGCAGTCAGACCAGGATTGGTGCTGTAGCCTTATTGGAGTTCACCGATTGGGTCTGTGTTGCTCCGGGACAGGAGGAAGTAAGTAAAAATGACACCGAGTTGGTTCAAAGAAAGAGTTTATTCTGCTCTCCGGATAGCAGAAGGCACTTGCGTGGTGAGTCCACAGCAAGTCCAAAGAAATGACAAGTTTCATGCAGTATATATATCCTCCAGGCATCCTCTCCCCTTCCCTAGCTACGTCAGCTTGTATACGCAGGTTGACATCACATATGTTCCTGCTCTGGTACTCTTAACCATAAAAGGATCTTCCTTCCTGTACTTCTGACCATAAAAGGATCTTCCTCTTCCTACTGTTATCTGGGAAGAGGTCATGATCTCCGGGAACACGCTTTTGGCGTTTTTCCTGGACATTGGGCTTGCGTGTATTTTGTGGTCAGCACATAAGATAAAGTTCTGACGTGTTTTCTTTGTTCCCCTAGAGAGCCAAGGACATCCCTTGCCGTGACTGATAAAGGAGAGAGCTTGTTTATGCAGCTGTGTCCTTATGATGTTTTTGCTCAACAGTTCAAGTTTTACACATTTAAAAGTGCTCTCTTTTGAAAGAACAAAAAGGGGGGGGTTTGAGTCAGTTTTAAACTTGCTACACAGAAACACATTCCTTCAGTGCAATATGTTCAAACCGTCTTAATTCTGCACAGGCTGAAGTTTCTGAACCATCTTCAGAGGCAGCCCTATGTATAATTCATTGAAGTTACAGTGGTGCCTCGCAAGACGAAATTAATTCGTTCCGCGAGTTTTGTTGTCTTGCGATTTTTTTTGTCTTGCGAAGCACGGTGTCAGGAAAGTTTTGGAAAAGCTTCAAAAATCACCAAAGCCTTCAAAAACCTCAAAAAAGGCTACCACACCGCGTGCTATGAGTTGCTCCTCGAAGTCAAGTCGCAACTGTATTAATGGTGTTAAGAAAAAGGAAACAAACTTGCAAGACGTTTCCGTCTTGCGAAGCAAGCCCATAGGGAAAATCGTCTTGCGAAGCAACTCAAAAAACCAAAAACCCTTTCGTCTTGCGAGTTTTCCGTCTTGCGAGGCATTCGTCTTGCGAGGTACCACTGTATCTAACTTTGAGGTTACCAGAGCATAGACAACAGTAGTTAGGCCATCCCTGTCCAGATAGGGGTGTAGCTAGGCCACCAGCTGAAGCTGATGGAAGGCACTCTGGCTCACTGAGGCCACCTGACCCTTGAGTGACAGCAATGAATCCAGGAGTACCCCCAAGCTACAAACCTGCTCCTTCAGAGGAAGTGTAACCCCATCAAGAGGCAGGCGATCTCCCACCTATCTGGTCTAGGGAACCACCCGCTAACAGTGCCTCAGTCTTATCTGGAATGAGTTCCTGTTTATTGGCTCTCATCCAGTCCATTTCAGAGGCAAGACACTGGTCCAGAACTTACACCGCCACACCTGCAGATGTAAGGAGAAATAGTGCTGAGGGTCATCAGCATACTGCTGACAACGTACTCTGAACCTCCGGATAACCCCACCCATCAACCTGTGAGAGAGATAACTTATTATCCAATTGTAACCATTACTTGAGCAAAGCACTTATTTTTAATAGTGGGGTTTCCACTAGATCTGACTAAGTGTCATCCATGCCAAGGTGACTGGCTCTGGAGTGATTCTGCTGAAAACTAGCAGGGAGGTAACAGCTGGCTAGGCAGGGAGGTGATGAATGCCTCCTTGTGAGAGGGAGTAGTCCCTGCCTGCTTGAAGGAGGCAGCGGTAAAACCACTCCTCAAGAAACCCTGGACTTGGAAAATCTAAGTAACTACTGGCCAGGTGCCAATTTCTCCTCCTTGGGCAAGGTTCTTGAGTGGGTGGTTGCAGACCACGTCCATGTGCTCTTGGAGGAAACTGATTTTCTAGATCCATTTCATAGAATCACAGAATTGGAATAGACCACAAGGGCCATCGAGTCCAACCCCCCGCCAAGCAGGAAACACCATCAGAGCACTCCTGACATATGGTTGTCAAGCCTCTGCTTAAAGACCTCCAAATAAGGAGACTCAACCACACTCCTTGGCAGCAAATTCCACTGTCGAACAGCTCTTACTGTCAGGAAGTTCTTCCTAATGTTTAGGTGGAATCTTCTTTCTTGTAGTTTGGATCCATTGCTCCGTGTCCGCTTCTCTGGAGCAGCAGAAAACAACCTTTCTCCCTCCTCTATATGAAATCCTTTTATATATTTGAACATGGCTATCATATCACCCCTTAACCTCCTCTTCTCCAGGCTAAACATGCCCAGCTCCCTTAGCTGTTCCTCATAAGGCATCGTTTCCAGGCCTTTGACCATTTTGGTTGCCCTCCTCTGGACACGTTCCAGTTTGTCAGTGTCCTTAACACCCAAAAAATCACTGCAACTCCTCAGAGTGCCTGGTCAGTACCTTTAAGGTCCCAATACATTGTTACATGAAAAAAAAGTCTGACCATGTTACCTATTGGTCACATACATGCGTGATCATAGAAATACATAAATGATTGTCTAAAAACAAGCATTCAACTCCTTGTTAATTAGCATCCATCTTAGACATGGGTATCAAAATGGAAAAACACTCTGGTCAGCATTCAGTTAGGACTAGGCTTATGTCCCTAAAAAGCAGGCTTCCACAGGTTTCTATCACCTCCTTGGACGTTGCCTTTTTGACACTGACAGTAAACTTCCAACCACAAAGTCTGTCAGGTTAACTGTAACTTTTTCTAAGAAGAGCAGGTACTAGCTAAATAGGTCATGCTGCTTGCAAGCAGAGTCTGACAGAGAGAGAAGCAATCATGGTTGCACTTACATCAAGAGGGTCTCTCTCTCTCTCTTTCAGCACAATTGGCCCTCCATGCCACCTTTAAGGGAATAGGAGAACTGGAGTGGTGGTCCATCACTCCTCCCTGGGCTCTGAGCCTTCTTCCCATGGTGGTTCTCCAGCTCGTTCCTCCCACCATTCCTCTGCATCCAACCAGACCATGACATTGTGTCACAGTCATCATAGATCTCTAACCTGCTAATTTAGCATTCCATATCTAGAATGAAAAAGCTAAACGATATTTCTCAGAACTTTGTTTACCCCTGCTTTCTCACTTGGTATGAGAGCCACAAGTTTGCACATTTAAAATTACTTAGGTTACCTCTCAATACACTTAAACCTCTGGGGGGGAGGTGTTGGGTCATAATCAGTGCTTTTTTCCAAGGGGTATTCAAGGGTACTCAGTACCGGCACTGCACCTCTTTTTCTAGAGGGGGGGGACCACTGGTCATAACAATTAGGGAGATGGAAGTAATAAGCATCACCTTGAAGCAAATTTACTAGTAAATGAAGGGATTCCGAGAGTGGAGTAAAAAGGATAATAATGGGGGGGGGGGAACCACTTGAAAGTTAGCCCCGTTATACAATGTTACTTAATCATTGTGTTTAATAGAATTGGGTTGTAATTCAAGTCTGCATGTATTAAAAAATAAAAATAAAATACCAAAGACGCTTTAAAGGGGTAGCCAGTGGTGGATAATTTCAGATTGAATAATCCAGGATAACAGCATCAGAAACTTTCACACGGTGACCACCTGCAATCAAGACACTTGATATCTAAGGTTGCAAGCGCCACTGAATTCAAAAGGACTGACTTCCAAGTAGGCATGGTGAGGATTGCGCGCCAAAAGAACTTTAGAGCCCGTTCTGTTGCTGATACTTTCCCCCCATGCTTTGGCGAGCATCTTGGAGCCTTTCAGCCTTATTATTATTATTATTATTGAGTGCCGTCTTTCCAACCCGGGCTAAGACCAAACGTCGCCCGCCCGCCCTTCTCCTCAAGCGGCGCCGCGTTTGCCACCCATGGTGCCCACCCTTGGCGAGCTTCTCCAAGGCGCGCCCTTCAGACAGGCAGACCTGGAACTGAAACCTTTCTTTCCCGCCACCTGGGAAGGAGGCTCCCAGGGCGGGTGGTGGGCACCGTCTGCGTGTGTCTCTCTGCGCGCCTGTGTTTGCGCGCGCGCGCGCGATTACCTCAAGGAACCAGCGGGGTTGAGTTGCATCGCGTCCCCTTCCCACCTCTGTGGCCGGGCGCATGCGCGGTCGGCCAGGCCCTGCTCTCCCTGCCTGAGCAGGTGCAGGGATGGGCCCCGCCATGGAGCGGAGGCAGCGGGGATGCCGTGGAGCCCCTGCCTGGGGGTGCCGCCGCCTGCTCCTCCTCCTCCTCCTCCGCGCCCCCCTGCTCTGCGCTTCTGGGGACACCAGCGTCGGCCCGGTAGGGACAGGGAGCGGCGAGCCGCCTGCCTGGGTGGGTGCCGTGAGGGAGACAAATGGGAAGCTGCCGCCCGGAGGGCTCCTTCCTCTCCATCCCCGGGCGTCGCCCCCGCTCCCAGCCCCCGGGCACGGCAACCTGGGAGGGGGGCGGCCTGCTGGGTCGCCCCCCGGCTGAAGGGGAGGGCAGGTGGAGGCGAGGTGGAGCTGGACCAGTGCGCCTTCCCCAGGCTGGCAAGGCTGGCAGAGACAGGGAGGGGCTGCTGGGGTGCCCCCCTTCCTCGCTCTCCTCCTGGCACGGCGGCGTTGTCTCCAATTAAATGAAGGTGGACGCGGGTCGAGGGGCTCCTCCCGGCGCCTGGGGCCGGTGTTGTTGGCTGTTTTCCTTCCCTCCGAGGAAGGAGTGGGGATCTCCAGGAAGGCTGCTGATGGGGGGGAGAGATATGTTTGGGTGCCACTGCCTGGGAGGTCTGGCGTGGGGTCCTCAGGGCAAGGGGCCTGAGCTGCTCTCTTCCGCCTGCAGGGAATAAGGGGCGGCGGCGCTTGTGGGGGTCAGGGGCAATGCCATGATGCCATGGAGGACGGTGGCTAGGATGCGCGAGGGAGAGAAAGGTGAATCGGGGTGCCCTGGTCTAATGGAAACGGGCACATGAAACATGTGAGCCAGCTTCTCCCGGGGGGGGGGGCGACTCGAAAATGTTCTTTCTTTTACGTCCCTAATGGTGCGTTCATGGGAAAGATCTGCCAGTATATAGGAACGTGCATACATGTTATTGAGCAGCATGCACCGCTTTTGTGGCCAGCAGCGCAGGCACAGAGGGAGAAGTACGGCGCTGGCTAAACGTTAATGGTGCTGTTGATTTTGGGTCTGTAATTATATTCCAGTACCCTCTTCCTTTTGCTAGCTTTTTATGGTGTTGTTTGGTACATGTCTCAGTGTTAATGCCTTCCATCAATAAAAGGAATAATAGAAAAACATGGTGTGAAAATGCAGCCAGGCACAACTTTTAAGGGCGAAGATATGCATGGTTGATAATGCACATTTTAGCGTTTAGGATGAGGTTGGCCAGTTAAATGAGGTGTGCAGTTTTGTTTGTCAATATAGCTGAGTGTTATTACCTACTCGGTCTTGAATATACCGATTTGGAAGGGTTAAATTAATGAGGTGGGTTGGAGATAAGGACAGTCCAGTTAACTGCGACTGTAGCACCTTCACAGAGCAGTGACAGGCTAGCAAACCTGTGCATAAAACTTCTGATACATGGGAACTGCTGGTCTGTTTCTTAACATTGACTGCTACTGACCAATGGCTGCTGGTGTGATGCCCCAAGGATCTTGTAGCTGACATTGCTTGCACAGCAGCAGCCCCTCACATCACATGCTAAACCACTGAGATAGGACTGGGGAATAATTTTTTATTGTTTGCATTTAAGAGCAAATCTGCCTAATCCACGTTTTCTGCAGCAATACATGAACAACCATTCTTCAAAATAAGCACTTTCCCAGATCTTGCAGTGCTGTCCTTCAGACAAGTACTATGTACAGAAATGAATATACTCTAGTAAAATGTGCACTCAAATGTATATATTCTTGAAAATAACATACAAAATGCATTAGGGAAATTTGTTTGGCAAAAAAAGGTATATTTTAGGCAATATTACCTGGAAGCTGTATGCCGGCTCCCTTGGCCAATAAAGCGAGATGAGCGCCGCAACCCCAGAGTCAGTCACGACTAGGGACCTAATGGTCAGGGGTCCCTTTACCTTTTTTACATACAAGAGGGTATACTGTATTAGGAGAAATTTGTACAAAAAGGCCAAATTTTCATGAACTTTTAAAAATAAATAAATCTCAAGCTGATGTGCGGATATGGATAACTGAATTTAAGACTGGAAGAAAGAGAAAGTGGAATTGGCAGGTTTATACATCCATAGACTGAGGAAACTTTCTAAAGTAGTTTGGGAGATGGGGTGGGGATGTTGTATCATTATGGGTGCAGCCAAGCATTTGGGCATGCCTAAAGTAGCTGAAATAAGTTCCATTAGTTCCATCATCCCTGGTCACTGGTCCTGCTAGCTAGGGATAATGGGTGTTGTAGTCCAACATCTGGGGACCCTAGGTTGAGAAAGGCTGATCTGTAGAGTTGGGTGTGTATGTGCAGATGAATGTTCCTGTAATGAAGGAGCTTGTGCTAATTACATTTAATATGCTACAGTTCTGTGGCCCCAATTTGGAGAAAGTTACATTTTGGTCATTTGAAATCAATGGGACAAGTGGATTAACAGCTAATGTCACAGCTAATGTTAAGTGAAACTTATAGTGCATTCTTAAAGATGTTTCCTTAGAAGGAATTCCATTCAGTTCAATAGGATTTACTCCCATGTAAGTGTGTGTAGGACTGTAGCCTAACATTCTCTGGATAGGATTCTATGAGCAGAGAAACTACCATGGCATGTGTGCACCCCCAGTGGTAGTGCTGCTGTGTGATAGCTGTGGATGCATTCCTGCCCTTAATTAGGCATGACTAAGTTTCCTTTAATTTAATGAGTTCTGTACCTGAGTAACTGGATGCAGGGTTGCAGTTGCAGAGAGATCCTCCTTTACAGAGAAATATATGCATATCTGTTCAGAAGTAATTCCCATCCAAGTTCAGTTGGATGTGCCCCAAGGTTAAGTGGATATAGGATTGCAGTCTTATACTGTAATCCCAACCTCATTTAACTGTGAGTAAACCCCATTGAATTAAATGGGACTGACTTCTGAGTAGCCGTGGTTAGGATTTATATATTTATTTAGAGCGTTTGTACCCTGCTCTTTAGCCAAAAAGGCTCCCATACAATACATTTTAATATATATATAGTCCCTTCCTGCACACAAAATCCAACTCAGGCCCCAATTCTGTTCTTATAATGACCAGCTTCTGGTACAATTCAGAGGTAGGAGGTGCCTGATGGCAAACGGATGGAATGAGCCCTGCTTCCTATCTTTCTCACAGAGGCAGTCTGATGAAATGGCTGCTTCAAGGTGAAAGTTGAGGGAGAGGAGTCCTGATGGAGCTGGTCTGTCACAGCAGAGCTGATGGAGTGAGCTCTGCTTTCCATCTCCCACTGACAAGCAGAAGGGGACAGATGGATTACAGCCTTAGTTGCAAACATAGGCTAATGGAGCCAAGTTTAACTGACAATGTGAATGATCAATAGATTAATTACATGCTATGCAATCAATAAATATATGTAAAACTATGCTATCTGGATTTATGATATGGAGCAGGGGAAGAGTAGAGGAGGGAAATGAAAGCTAGAAACATACGGTAGATGTAAAGAAGCATAAAATGAATTGAAACAATAGAGTCATTAACAGTATTTACCCAAGCATTTTTTAAACTAGATATATCCTCCTAGGTGCCATTTTTCATGAAGTTTGAACCATTAGTTCTCAAGCCATTTGAACTAGGAGTAGCTACCATTCTCAAGTTCATTCAAATGATAGAAAATAATATGACATAATTTGCTCGAGTTTTATAGAAACATTTATGAGAAATCTATTTGAATATAGAAATATTTAAATGAATAGTTGGGTCTCGAGCCCTGAATTATATTGTTAATGGTCAAGGTTGTACACACTACCTGGCACAGGTTCATACTGGTGGTTGTTGTTGTTGTTTTGTATTGTGGAGGCAGCATAGCTGTGTATGAAAAGTATAGAGAAAAGCCATCCTCATAAGCAATTCATAAGCAATAGAAATGAGAGGAAAATATGCTACAGGTACCATTAGGCATGCAATTTTCAAGTAAATTTATAGCTCTCCACCACCCCCCCTTGGGTTTGTCAGTCTATGGATGCATGAAGTCCTTGGTGCTTTACTTTATATTCACTTGCTAAGTTCTGAAGTACTAAGTACTTTGTGGACTTCAGCATCAGATCAATGAACACAAGGTGCAGCTGCTGTATAGGGTGACATTAACTAGCACGGGGTGGTTCTATCATTAGGCTTGAAGCTGCTGTCTCCTTGCAGAGGAGGTAATCCTAGGTTAGAAATGAGTAGTTGCAAAGTAGGTTTCTGGCATTTTTGAGTAAGACCCATTTGTATACAGGTAAATCCTGCTATTTCCATAAATGATATTTCTACTAGGCGCTTATGTGAATTGTTGAAACAGGCCTAAAAGGTAAATATAAAGATATATATATATTGCCATTTTTAGGGCAATTGCCTGTTTGCTTTGAGCCTTAATTCAAATCTCTGAATATTTATTCTAAAGTTCAGTTTACATTGCTAGACATTTGTTGGTGGTTGGTAGTCATTTGAAACAAAAATATTTCTCCCCTTGCACAAACTCTTGAGTTTGTCTTGAGTGACAATAACAGAAAGATTTCACCCAACAGAAATTACACCATAGTTCTTCCCATAATCCAAACACAGATGTGAACCAAAGTCAGTTTAGGTGATAATGAATTTTTCATCTGCCCAGATCCTTTTTGTGACATGTTGAAACAGCAGTCAATATATTCCATCTGAAGGAATTGTTTGCTGATGCAGCAAGTGTTGAGATTGGGCTGTTAGTCATTTGAGGCATGCATTGTAGAACTCATAGAAGCTTTCCTTCAGATATCGGTTTGTCTGCTCATAATTAAAATATAATGCAAGAGAATATAAATTATTTAAATCTCCATGAAACTGAAATTGTTGCAGAGCAGTTATGGCTGTCCTGCTTCAAACTACTGGTCAACTGAGGCAATCCTTATGGGGAATACAAAATGTCGGAAGGAGTGTTTAGCACAGCCCTCCTCAGGTGTATGGAGGCAGCTATGTGGTTCTTTGGATCACAGCCATTTTACTCTAACCATAAGATTCAATATCATGCAGTTTCTAACACTAACTGTAGAGTGAAGAGATGATCATGTAAAAATATTCTGTTGGATCATTGGGAGTCCATATCTCAGCTTCCATTTTAAAGGGGTAAATAAATACTGTAACTGTAACTTTCGCCATAATCACAGTAATGTTGAGTTATGTGGTTACTGCTCTCTCCTTTTCGG